TAAGTAGGGCTATACTTGGGTTTATAAGTACCCTAAGCAGGGTTATGCTAGTTATAACCTTGCTTATAAACTTACTTACCGAGTCCCCATGAACATGAACCTGCAAGTAGACCCTAAACTCCTAAACCCTTAAACGCAACCCTATTATAGAACCCCATTGCACCCTCAAAAGGAACCCTAAACCCTACTTGCTACGTCCCCATGAGCCAGAGAGCCCAATACCCCTTAATTAAGGAATATGCTTTAAACTATAAGGGGCCTTCTATTATGATTTAGACTTTTTTCCTTAATTAAGGGGTATATCTTGCTCTCTGGGGTGATGTCCATTCTGGTGAACGTGCATCTTTTGAGCGGCAAGGGGGCAACTCTGGAGGCCCAAGGGTTTAGGGTTAACCCCCAACCCCCCCGAGAGACTCCAATATCCCTTAATTAAGGAATACCTAGGGGCCTAGGGTTCCTTTAAGGGGTCCTTTTAAGGGATCTATAGGGTGTAGGGTTTAAGGGAGTCCAATATCCCTTAATTAAGGAATATTCCTCAAATTATGGTAGGATCCCTAATATAATTTCAGGTATATTCCTTAATTATGGGATATTGGAGTCTCTGGGCCCGAGCTGAAAACCCCAGCCTAAATCCTCAGCCCCAAACCAGACTACCCCTAAACTCTGCGCTATGAAACTCCTCAAGACCCTATAGAACTCCATGGACTCAGTCGAGGACGCCGCAGAACCCTTTGCAAAATCCTGTAGACTTCATTGCAAAACACTTCCAAACCCCTTAACCCTAAACCTCAGAACCCTGGAGAGGCGGATACCGATGCATCTGTTGAGTCATTGAACCAACGGGCGCAGAGCGCTCTAGGAACAGGGAGAGGAAGGCTGGTGAACTCTGCTGGAGAGGTGGGGGTTTTCCAGTTAATATAGGGGCCTACATAATTAGCATTTTTTGGGGGGGTTCCTTATTATGATTATAGTATATATTAGGCACCAAAATCCTTTTTCTAATTATTAAGACCCCTATATTAGTTTAGGGTTTAGAGTTACTTTAAACGCGCCTCTGAGGGTTCCTTTGTGGGTTCTGTAGGGTTTAACATATTGAGGCTTTCATGAAGTTCTAGTTCGTCTAAGAGTTTCTTGAGAACATTTAAGGGTTCTTGGGTTAAGCTTTTTTGTTGGAGAGGTTGGTGGGCGTTTACGGTTTATATGAGGGTGCTATATGCGCAACACGGGTTTAAGTGTTTAGGATCTCAAACTTTGAGGGTTTGGGGTTTAGGGTGCAGGGTTCAAGTTTTAAAGAGAGTTTGAGACAAGAGCGAGCCTTTGTTTCGACCCCCAAGCGTTGAGACAACCTTTTCTGTAAGATCCTCAACACCTCGGTCCCAATTTGTTGAACCCTTTAGGTGTTGGATGGTGTGGCAACGATCAAGAAAGCAAGACTGCAGAACGGCGACGATCTAACCTTACATGTGAACCAGATCCAGATTGCAGCCACAAAGAAAGACCAAACCTGTGCTGCTGCCTTTGCCGCTCTGTTGGGAGATGGCTCCGTGGTAACCTGGGGCGATCGCACATATGGTGGCGATAGCAGTGCTGTGCAGGAGCGGCTGAGAAACGTGCAGCAGATCCAGGCTACATACAGCGCATTTGCTGCAATCCTGGGTGATGGGTCTGTGGTCACCTGGGGTGATCCGGAATGTGGCGGCGACAGCAGCGCTGTACAGGAACAGCTCAAAGGTGTGCGTCACATCCAAGCTTCTGACAGCGCGTTTGCTGCTATACGGGGGGATGGATCTGTGGTCACTTGGGGTCACTGTGTTTTTGTCGGCAGCCGTGCTGCACCGGAGCAGCTGGCAGACGTGCAGCAGATCCAAGCTTCCCAGCGTGCATTTGCTGCAATCCTCCGTGATGGATCCGTGGTCACCTGGGGTGATCCTGCGTTTGGTGCAGACAGCAGCGCTGTACAGAAGCAGCTGAGAGACGTACGGTGCATCCAAGCATCTCGCGGCGCGTTTGCTGCAATCCTGGATGATGGATCTGTGATCACCTGGGGCCATCGCGAATCTGGTGGTGACAGTGATGCGGTACAGGAGCAGCTGAGAGATGTACGGGAAATCCAAGCATCCTGTGTTGCCTTTGCGGCAGTTAGAGGTGATGGATCTGTGGTCACCTGGGGTGATCCTGATTTGGGTGGCGACAGCAGAGGTGTCCAGCATCAGCTGAAGGACGTGCGGCTTATCCAGGCTTCCACTGGCGCATTTGCTGCGATCTTGGGTGATGGATCTGTTGTCACCTGGCCAACTTGGGGCAATCCCGCATTTGGGTGCGACAGCAGCGTTGTACATGGGCGGCTGAAGGATGTGCAGCAGATCCAAGCTTCCAGCGGAGCCTTTGCTGCAATCCTGCGTGATGGATCCGTGGTGAGCTGGGGCGATCCAGGATATGAAGATCCCGGATACGGTGGCGACAGCAGTGCTGTGCAGGAGCGGCTGAAAAATGTGCAGCAGATACAGGCTTCTTGTGCTGCGTTCGCTGCAATTATGGGTGATGGGTCTGTGGTCACCTGGGGTGATCCCGAGGCAGGTGGCGACAGTGGTGACGTTCAGGATCAGCTGAAATGTGTGCAGCAGATCCAAGCTTCAGACGGTGCATTCGCAGCAATCCTAAGTGATGGTTCTGTGGTCACTTGGGGTCATTCTCAATCTGGTGCTGACAGTCGCGCTGTGCATCGCAGTTGGGCACGAGGCAGGGCTGTATGAAAACTAGGATGCCCAGTAGTACCCTTATTCCCTTTTTGTAGTCCTAGGTTCCTTATAAAGTTACCCAATACCATCCCAATACCAAAAGAGAGGCCTTTTTATTCTTAGGTCAGACATATACATATACATAGACATAGACATATTCATATACATATATTCATATACATATATACATATACAACTGGGTATCCTAGAAAACGCCCCAGAGCCCCAGACCTAAGCGCTCAGCACCGATTTTTCAAGGACTCTGATCGGGGGCCCAAATCCCAAGCTGTCCATTCTGAGTAGCTACCAACACGATTCCTTAGGGTTTCTCACTACGAATCCCTGTCCAGCCTTGTGAAACCCGATAGAAACCCTACAAAGCCTACCCTAAACCCTCAACCCCAAACCCTTCGTTGATGGATTTTGGCGCCTTTGGAAATGCAGGAGAGTTTCCCTTGCCTCCTTTGGCCTCAGTCAGAGCCGCCGGCGACTTCAGTGAGGGCAAGAAAAAGTTTAGGGGTTTTGGGGTTTAGGGTTTAGGGTTGCCGCATTCTTTCGGGCTCTTGGGAGGTTTTTTTGTTCTTGCTGTTTTGCTTTGTTAGTTCACGATCTTCACGGATCTCCAAACCCACATATTCTTAGGCGTACTTAGAAACAATTTTTAATTTTTCGTTATTATAACCCCTAAGAAACAGCTAAAATTATAATTTTTGCTAGGGTTCCAAGTTCAGTATAGTATTGCTTTGCTTGCTTTCTAAGGGGAGTAGAGTTTGGCGTGTACGGGTTTTACACGGGGTTTTGAAGGTTTGGGGTCGCTAGGTTCTAAAATCTAAAGGGATCTGCATGGGTTCTATATGGCTTCTGTAAGGGTTCAGAAAGGGGTTCTACAACGGGATCCCTAAACCGTAAACCCTAAGCCCTAAACTCTAAACCCTAGCCCTAAACCCCTAAGATACAAAATCCAAGCCTCCCAAAACTGAACCACGACAGCAGGAACTAGGGTACTTGAAGGCTCATGGGACTTAGTAAGTAAGGTTGTAAGTAGGCTATGATGAGGATAACCCCACTTAGGGGACCTATAACACCAATGACAACCTACTTACTTAGTCCCATGATCCTTTAAGTAGCCTTATCATGAACGGTTCACAGGAGAGGGTGCGGACGTAAGCGTCTTGGCTCGGCTTTAAGGTGTAGAGCTTAGGGCTTGACGGGTTGAGAGAGGAATTTGGAAATCTGAGTATCTATGACCAGCAATGTACCCTTACAACCCCCCTGCGATCATACTGTGACAGACACCCAAACCAGGGAAGAGCTCCCGTACGTTCTGCATTCACAGTCGGAGGGTGTCGGGTGTGCATGACCTATGGTGTGCTTTCAGCTAAGCATCTTCTTCAGTACGAGGGGTCGAGCTTTTTGCAGTCGTTTGGGGTGGTGGGTTGGGGTTTAGGGCTTCCCTGTGGCCCAAGAGACCTACCTTTTTGTTGAATTATATATAGAAACCATAATAAGGAATCCTAAAAAGAAAAAGGTAGGTCTTTTCGGCAACAGGTTAGGTTTAAGGTTTAGGGTTTAGGGAGTCGCCATTCCCTGACCTGAAACCATGCACCCCTAAGTCCCAGCAGACGTAGACCCCAAGTCGGCGTTCAAAAAGGGAAAGGGCAAGACATAAACCCACAGCCATAACCCTAAACCCCAAGTCCTAGAGCAAATCCTAAACCCTAAAAGGTTTTGGGTTTAGGGTTTAAACCCGTTGAAACCTCCATAGCTTCTTACAGCACCCATGTAAAACCTTCCAGAACTCCTGTAAGACTGTAAGCCGTTATGAATCCCTGAGCCTTGCAAGCCCTCTGATCCCGGCTTCTATTCTACATTGCGTCTTCTGCAATTCTGTTTTGCTCGAGCCACTTCGGGAGTGTTGACTTCGCTGGTTCTCGGTGCAAAACCAACGTCATTCATTAGACGTTTGCAATCTTTTGCATGCGGCGAGAAACCGACATGTAGACGTGAAGTGAGGCAGGGAGAGGTTATATATGATTATATAATACACAGGCACAGAACTTCGCATCTTGCCTTTGACGTTAAGCCTGGGCTTAAGCGCAAAACCCTAAACCTAGAGTATAGCGACCCAGAGAGCGCAAAACACCTTAGTTCAAGCATATTCCCTGATCTTTATATAAGTCCTTAAGAAGGTAAGTTACTTGGGGTTAAGGTATTTTGCTTAATTAAGGGGGGAAGATTGCCTGCGGTCGAGAGCTTGCAACCATGGTGTCAGCCTCGGAGGGGCATCTGTCGAACTCCTGCAAATAAAGTTTCAAAAAGGGTTCCTTCTGGGTTTAGGGTTTAGGGTTTGGGGTTCCTTAACAGCTCCTCAAAGGGGTTTCCTAGAAGGCTTACTTACTACAAGGGTTGCTACAAGAAAGGGCTTCTGAAATCCTGGAAGTAGTAGGGTTCCCATAAAGGGTTCCTTCAGGGTTTAGGGTTCCTTTAAGACATCATTTAAGGGGCTTACTGCAAGGGTTATCATATTATGTATGGTAGCCCTGGCAGTAACCCTTCTAGGAAGCCCCTCAAAAGATATCTTAAAGGAACCCTAAACCCTTAAGGAACCCTTTAAAAGGATATCTTAAGTAAACACTACACCCTGAAGGAACCCTTTAAAAAGATATCTTAAGTAAACCCTAATTCCTTAAAGAACCCCTTATGGGAACCGGGCTAGGATGTGAGGGGCCAGCAGCCTGCGAGAAGAAGTCTGCTGCGCTTGGAGGTTCGGGGCGTAGAACCGAAGACAGAAACTGCCAGGGTTTAGGGCTTAGGGTTTAGGGCTTAGGGTTTAGGTTTTAGGGTTTAGGTTTTAGGGTTTGGGGTTTAGGCTTTTAGGGTTTAGGATTTAGGTTTTAGGGTTTAGGGTTTAGGGTTTAGGGTTCAAACTTAAACCCAAAATATGAAACCCTAAACCCAATTCCTCAGCCCTACCCCGAGAGCCCGAACGCCCCCAAAGCCTTTCCCCTTTGGGGTACACTAAACAATAGGTGCCGTATTATATAGTAGAAGCCCAAAAGTTGGAAACCCAATAGCCTCATTCCTTAAGAGTCATGTATAAGGAATCCCAGCACTATTTGGCCTTAATCCGGTTACCAACTTTATGGGGTTTACTGTAATAAGGACCCAAAAAGGGACAAAGATACCAACGGTTGATCCAGGTCATGGCCGAGGACGAGGCGTGCAATGCAGGGTCTTCGTTGCGCCATTATCCTAAGCCCTTATGGGAGTTTCCGACAATTGGGGGTACCTTATTTTGGGGTCCTTATAATAAGGATCCTACTACCCTAGTTCTCCTATACTTAAAGGCTCATGGGACTTAGTAAGTAAGGTCATAAGTAGGGTTATAATTAAGATATCCCCAGTTAGGGGACTTATAACCCCAATTATAACCTACTTACTAAGTCCCATGATCCTCTAAGTAAGCCCTTATCGTAACCCGTAGAGTCATCCTTACCTGAAGCGGTTATAGCAACTCTTATAGTAACCCCTACCCTGAGCCCCTCATAGTAACCGTAACCCTTATAGTAGCCCTTATTGGAGCCTGTATAGCAACCCTTATAACGACCCTTGGGTTGTCGTTGCATTGTGGCATCCAGATTCCCGTAGCAGATGCCGGTTGGGGTTTGGGGCTCTGAACACTTGCCCATGCTGTTCCTAGGTTCTTTAAATTTGCATATTTCTACTATTAGCGGCCCAGTATCCTGTTCTAGTTATCAAGACGCCGATATTAAGCCTGCATCCCTCTACATCGCACACGAAGTGGAATCTCAATCCGAAACCAGCGTTCCACATTTTAAAACCCTCTTTGGGAGGACATCGTTGGCCAGGACATCGAGATAGCGGCAGGGTTCCAAGAATTCTTCTTCGGTTCGACACCCCAGCTTTTAGAGTGTAGGGTTTAGGGTTCAAAATTTAACGGTTTGGGGAGACCGGAAACTTACAAAAGGTGGGTTGGGAGAAGCAGACATATAGATGTGATAGTAGCAGTCGTCGTAGTGGTAGAAGCGCGAGGGACCCTGCGACCAAAGCGTCGACCCCACCACTGCGATTGTCGATGCCTGCTGTTGCTGCTGCTTCTGCTGCGCCTTCCCGTTCTCCTATACTTAAAGGCTCATAGGGCTTAGTAAGTAAGGTTATAAGTAGGTTATAATTAGGATAACCCCACTTAGGGGACTTATAACCCCAATTATAACCTACTTACTAAGTCTCAGGATCCTCTAAGTAACCACAATACTGCTACTATTCCGCGTGCTAGTAGGACGAGCCGACCAGTGAACCAAGAGGTACGCTACATGAGCGCAGAAGCAGGCAGCAATTGCAGGAGATGCAGATTTGACCAATACCGAAAGCATAGATAAGTAGACCAAGGAATCAATATCCACCTCTCTCTGCATTCGCGACTCTTCGAGCCTTGCATCCGCACCCTTAACCCTAAACCCAAACGCTAAACGCCCGGAATCATAAACCCCCAAATCAAATGAAAAGCCTGAGCCCTGAGCCCCGAAACCTCAAATCCTATACTCAAAGTCCGAAACCCCAGAGTTTTGGGTTTAGGGTTTAGGGTTTAGGGGTTTAGGGTTTAGGGTTTAGGGTGCCCTGAAGCCGAAATCCTGAACTCCAAGCTCAAACCTGTTGCACGACCCAGGAGGAACCCCCAAAAGGGCCGTCGTTGGCATCCATTTAGTCGCCACGTGTTTCGCTTCGTGACAGTCCGCATGACCGGTTGCATAAATCCGAAGCTCCAAACCCAAAACCCTAAACCCTAAAAGCTGGAACCTCTCAACTCCAAACCCTAAGCCATAAACCCTATAATCCCCAAAACCCTAAACCCTGAACCCCCAAAGCCCTAACACCCCAAAACCCTAAGGCCCTGAAGCCCTAAAACCCCGAAACCCTGAACCCTAAAGACATAAAGACTCGAAGCCACCCAAAACCTAAAACCTTAAACCCTGCAACCCTAAAACCCTAAACACGTCCAAACCGTATCTAAGCCCCAAAGCTCTAAAGCCCTAAACCCTGAAACCCTGAAGCCCTAAAGCCTAAAACATCTCCCCCAAAAACTACCTAAACACCTAAAGCCGCAAATCCGCAAAAAACTTACAGCTCTAAAACACACCTCCCTACCAGGAACTCCCCCAGGTGCCCGGTCCGTAGATTATAGATCCCTTTCAGGAGCCCTAGGGTCTTGGCTCATGGGACTTATATAGTATGTAAGGTTATTAGTAGGTTGTAGTTAGGATAACCGCACTTAGGTGACTTATAACCCCAATTATAACCTACTTACTAAGTCCCATGAGTCTTTAAGTACCCTATAAGTAATGAGTCATGACCTGATATAGGGCCCGGAAGATTAGAAACATGTTTTGGGGGCAACCTAATCTCCCCCTTATAGAACCCTTATAGATCCCTTAAAGGAGCCCTTGTAAGGAAGCCTAGTTACTAAGTCCCATGAGCCTTTAAGTAGGTCTTCCTGTTGGAGTCTCTGGGAACCCTAAACCCCCAAACCCAAAACCCTAAACCCTAACCCCTAAACTCTAAAGCCTAAACCCTAAACCCTAAAACCCTAAACCCTAAACCCTAACCCCTAAACCGTAAAGCCCCCTAAACCAGGTGCCGCGATCCGGGGGCCGCACCATCCCCTCCGCTTCAAAGCGGCCCAAGGACCGAGCGCTTGCATCTGTTGAAGGGGTTCCTTCAAGAGTTTCTTGAAGGTTTAGGGGTCTTTAAAGTTTAGGGTTTAGGGGTTTAGGGTTTGGGGTCTAGGGGTTTAGGGTTCTATGGGCTCTGGAAATGTTTAGGGTTTGAGGGGTTCTAGAGGGGTTTACGGGTTATGATTGTAGGGTTCCTTTCAGGTCTCTTATGAGAGCTTCTATAATGGAGTTAGGGTTCCTCTACTAAGGTTGCCATAACAGGGCACTGTAGGGTTTAGGGGTTCCAGAAGGGCTTAAGGGGATGTAGTTATAGGGCTTCGGGCTCGAACTTGATGTAGGGGTTGCTCTAAGAGCCTGAAACGGGAGTATGGGGCTTCGTTTAGGGTTTGCACTGAAAAGGTTTAGGGTTTATAATTGGATTCCTTTAGCGGTTCTTTTTAAGAGCTTCTGTCGGGATTTAGGGTTCCTTTAAGGATTTGTGCAGGTTTTATAATCATGGGGTTTAGGACTAAGGTTCTATGGATTTTTGGTTTTGGATTTTAAGGTAGAGGGGTTTAAATGTTACTATAATAGGCTACTCTCGGGTTCAGGGAACGGGTTCCTTTACAGAAGCAACATGTGTTTTATGGGTCCAATATTATCAGAATTAGAGGTTTAGGGGCTTTCAAGGTTAGTGTAAGTAGGGCATTGTCGCGTTTAAAGGAAGGTTCCTTGAAGGGTTTGTGGGGTTTAGGGTTCGGGGTTCCATAAGGGTTATTACAAGTAGGGTACAGGGTTTAGGGTTTGGTATAGAAGCCAGCATAATCAGAATAGGATTGCTTCAAAGATTAGGGGTTCCGTGAGGGATTCTTACAAGAGTTTCTACCGTGGGGTATGAATATCTGGGCCTGAGTAGTCATAACCGGGTTCTGGGGTACGTTTTTTGAGAAACTCGAGTAAGGAACCTTCAGCAAAAATGTGTACAACTTAGTATAACTCTAATAAGTATAAGAAACATTATGGGTAATGGTTCAGGCTTCTACACTGGGGTTTGGGGCTTTTCATGTGTTAGATTCGATGATGTTTTAGAGGGGTTTGGAGGCTTTAGTGGCTAGGATTTCTGGGTTTCCAGGATTCAGGCTTTAAGCTTCTGGGGTTCGAGAGCTTGAAGTTTGGTTTTGTACTGGGGCCTTTAATCGGGGGTTAGAAGGGTTTGGCGCCTTTCGGCTAGGTCTTCGGGTAGTGGAGTTGTGGGTTGCAGGTGGAGCACGTCAGCGACGATGAGGTGGACGATGATGAGGAGTCGGAGGACGAGGAGGAGGCACCAAGCCGATTTGTAGGTTTTTGATGGGGTTCCATCGGGCTTATTCGGGATTTCACATGGTTTAGGGTGCGAATTGGACTTCACATGGTTTAGGGCGTGAGTTTGTGTTTAGGATTTGGGAGCGAGGCTTGGTGCTTGACAAGGCTTGAAGGTTTTGGACACAGTGCCTTAGAGGTGGATTACGGGTTTTGTATGAATAAGCCCAAAGCCCCAAACAATAATCAATCCGAAGCCGTAAACCCTAAACCTAAACCTTAAACCAAACCCTAACCCCAAACCCTAAGACCTAAAACCTTTTATCCCTTCTGGCAACCCTTGTAGAACCCTTATAGCAGCCCTTGGAGAAGTCTGAAAGTAGCCTGTAAAGGAACCCGTAAAGGAAGCGATTCAAAGGAGCACTTTTAAAGGAACTCTTGTGAAGGAACCCCTAAGGGAACCCTTTTACAGGAACCCTATACAAGGAACCTTTAAATGGACCCCCGAAAGCTCTTATAGTAGCCTGTTGAAGGACACCTTTCAAAGGAACTCTCTTAACGGAGCCATTTTAAACAAACCCATTTAAAGGAACCCTTTTAAAGGAATCCTTTTTTAAAGGAGCTCTGAAAGCCAGGTGACGGCCCTTGCGGCTGCGCAGCCCGCCGAGCCTCGAAACGAGGCGCTGACGGATTGTGCTGCTAGGGTTTAGGGTTCAGGTTTCAGGCTTTAGGGTTCTCCTGCAAAGGTCCCAGAAGGTGTCTATGAGGATAGTGTAGGTTCCGTAAGGGATAGTATAGGTTTAGGGATTTAGGTTTTATGGTCTTAGGGTTCAGGGACTTGGCTGTAAGTGTTCTTATACCTGATCCAAAAGGTTGCTGTAGGCTTCGGGTTTCGGGTTTTGCAGTGTAAGGGGTTCCTTTGATCAAAGGGGAGAAGGAGGGTCCCTCAATGGGGACCCCTACCATATAACGGGCTATATCATGGGTATATAATAGCTATATTAAGGGTATATTTCTAGGGGTCCTTATTAAGGGTCCCTCCTTTTACCCTTGGATTTGAGGGATCCAACAAGGATTCGGTAATGGCTCCTTCAAGGCGTCTATACGGTTTTCTTAGGTGTTCAGACGCCCAGGCCCTTCCGTCCGTTCATCGAGGAGTTGCCTTTGGATTATAGCAAAGACCAGGCTGTTCAGTGGTACACTTTTATACTTTCAGGTTTCTGGGCTCCTATTCTAAAAATAGGAAGCCTAAAGAGAAGTATGTACTTCTTTCCAGTGGGTTACTGAACAGCCTAGAAGAGCCTACGATATCTGGCGCCTTCATTTGTGAGGTATCGGAGCCTTCGAGCAGGGCAACCTGAAACTCCGAAACACCTGATCCAAAACTTAAGGCATCCCCTACTTAAAGGCTCAGGGGACTTACTAAGTAAGGCTATAAGTAGGTTATAATTAGGATAACCCCACTTAGGGGACTTATACACCCAGTTATAACCTAGTCACTAAGTCCCATGATCCTCTAAGTACGCCACCCTACGCCCAAAATCCGAAAGTATAGGCACAGTGTCCTAGAACCCTTATCCATGAGCCGCCAACCAAGATCTGAAAAAAGCCTTGAAGAAAGCCCTTCCTGATGTAAGGGCTGTAGTACTTTAATACTACTTTCTAGGCCCTCAGCCCAACAGCCCATGACCCAGAAAATCTTCCAAGTCCCTAATGCGCAACCCATAACACCCCGATCAGATCTGATGACACCACACATAAAGCGGAAAGGTGCTTGGACACCCTCAAGCCGAACTTATGAACCCGAGAAAACCCGGCAAAAGAACCTTAAAACCAAAACCCACGCAGAACTCTTGGAGGAACCCCTGTACTATATCCTAATAGAGACTTCAAAAGCGCCCTTAAGAACCCGATAAGAGCCTTAAGGTACCTTGAATAAAGCCGTGTTCAACCTGTATCCACAAAAACCTTACACCACCCCTTTACAACCCGTATTAAAACCTCTATAAACCCTATCAAGCCCAAACCCTAAACCCTACTAAACCCAAACCAAAACCAAATAGAGGTGGAGAAGGAGACGAAAGAGTTCCGGACCAATGCCGTCCACGTCTACGGCCGGGGAGCCCCAAGAGCCTGGGTTTAGGGGTTTAGGGTTTGGGGGTTTAGGGTGCCAGGTCTAGCAATTGCTTTCATCATGGTTGTGATGATGATGCTTCGCATTGTTGGAAGTATTGTTGCTTTTGTTCTGTTTTTGAAGTTTGTCATTTTCCAAAATCGGTGTTATTGTCTGTTGTCGCGGGTGTTAGAAGGTTTGGTAAGGCTCCCCTAGCCCTCGCGGTCTCGTGAGGGCTGTTATGAGGTTTAAAAGGGTTTTGTAGGGCTACCTACGCTTCATAAGATGTTGCAGACATATTTCGCTTTTTTTTAAAGGTTACACAGAGTTTCGTTTTTCAGGTTTGGACGGGTTTATCGGGCTTTACAAGGTTTACAGGGTGTTTGTATAAGAGTTTTTAGAGCATGCTGAACAGGGCTCACGCTGAGACTCGGGCGCGACACCCTTGTGCTGAGCCCTATGCCCTGTGCTTAGAGGATCATGGGACCTAGTAAGTACACTGTCTGGTTCTTAGTAGGGAATGAGGGAATGGATCCCTTTGGTGGTCCCTATATAATCCCCAACAATAATCCCCCAAACCGATTCCCTCATTCTCTAAACCCGTAAACCCTAAACCCCTAAACCCCTAAACCCCATATGCCCTAAACCCTAAACCCTAACACCTAAACCCTTAAACCCCTTAACCCCCAGACAGAACAAGGCTGTGGTAGGTTTTATGCTCGAGGCCCAACCCTGAGACTCTAATATAGGGGCCTTAATAATTACCTATACTATTTTGGGGGTTCCTTGTTATCATTATTGTATAATTGGCCCCAAAAGCCTATTCTAGTTACTAAGGCCCCTATATTTATTAGACTCCAAGCTCTGCAGGTTAAAACCCTAAAACTCGCGACTCTAAACCCGTACATAAGTCCTCAGCTCTAGACTCTAGACCGTCATCCTTTTCTTTGAGTTTTTGAGTCCTAGACCTAAAAGCAGGTTGCCCTTTTGAGAGGCCTGGATTTCCTCAAGACCAACCACATGGAGGAGATCTTCAGCCAGTTTGGCTACAAGTGCTCCGCTCAGGGCTTTAATTGCGCTTTTTATGGGGTGTAATGTTGCAAGGGTTTGGGGTTCATGGGTTCAGGGTTTGATGACGCGTTTGGAATGGTGGACTTTAGGTCGAAGGCTCGTTTCGTCGGCAATCTTTATACTTTATACAATAGCTGGTTCGCCCAGGCGTCCGCTCCCTTACACTTTTCTTCGGCGCTCTCCGAAAGAGGGTGCCCTTGTTTTTAAGGGCGGCCGAAAAACGTAGATACGCGGGTTGTGTCGGATGTTGGGTGGCTAGTCATTTCAGTTTTCGTTTTGGGCCATGCTCGGTGCTTCTGTCGACCGAGCTTTTCTGAGAAGTATGACCAGCAGCTAGCAGCAACAGAAAAGCACTGACTCTGACAGTAAGAGCGGTTCAAGGGTTGGGGTTCGGGGTGGTGTTTATAGATACAGCTGCACAAGTCAAAAAAGCACGAGGACCAAAGGCAGGAACGATCATTGCTTTTGTGAAAGGCACTGAAAATCCTTGCAATGCCAGTAAGATTGCAGCAGGAGCAGCCCTATGTCCTAAACCGTGATGCTGACAGATGGCAGGTATGTGGAATGGCTTAATGCCTCCAGTGCCAACATCATCTTCAAGAACGCTGAGGGTGCCAAGAAGGCCCAGTGCCACACTAGACCCGAGGCCCAAAAGACTCTAAACTGACTCCAAGGGTAAAAGGAGGCACCCTTAATAAGGACCCCTAGGTATATACTCTTAATATACCTATTATATACCTATTGCATAGCCCATTATAGGGTAGGGGTCCCCATTATTAAGGGTCCCTCCTTGTCCGACTCCAATATCCCTTAATTAAGGAATATACCTTACATTAGAGTAGGATCCCTCATATGCCTTAAGGATTATTCCGTCATTGAGGGATATTGGAGTCTCTGGGGCATTGGGCTTTGCAGATTCGATTTTGGAATATAATTACGACGCACCTTGGGCATGTGACGCTTGAAAAGCCGTAGAGCCCTTTGAAGGAGGTAGGGTGCAAAACCCTAAACCTTAAACCCCAAATCCCAAACCCTAAACCCTAAAGATCCCTTCGACCCCTGAAAGGAACCCTTAAAAGGCCCATTGTTGTTCTTAGGCGCCTTCTTTGGAGCTGCAGCGGAGTCTCTGCCTCGAGTCTAGCGAACCTCCTGAAACCCTAAACCCCTAGATCCTCAAACCTTAAGCCCTGCACCCTAAGGGTTTAGGGGTTTAGGGTTTAGGGTTACCCTTAACTTTAAACCCCCAACCCTCAAATCTTAAACCCTGAGCCCTAAAACGCTATTGCCTTAACACCCAAACCTTACATGCCCGAAGCTCATGCTCCAAACCAAGCCATCCTACTGTTGATGGACAAAATCCTGCATTACCCATTATAAGGAATATACCATAGTTCCCATAGTTTAGGTCCTTAAGGTCATGCAGGATTTTGTCCATCAACAGTAGTTCCATTCCCCAAACCCAAAACCCCACAAGCCCAAAACCCACAACCCCAAACCCCTAAACCCGAAACCCCAAAGCCCCCAAAATCGCTAAACCCTCCAAACCCCCAAACACCCCTAAACCCTATAGATCCCTTAATGGAACGCTTAAAGGAACCCTAAACCCCTATAGATCCCTTAAAGGAACCCCCCCCTAAGCCCCAAACCCCTGCGAGGCTCTCGAGGCTTTGTCCTTCCCCAAGACGGAGGAGCGGCCCGCTTTGGGAGCCACGTAGTATAGGGGCCTAAATAATTCGGTTTAGGGTTTAGGGTTGAGGGTTTAGGGTTTAGGGTTTAGGGTTTAGGGAATTACCTATACTATTTTGGGGTGTTCCTTTTAAAGGGGTCTATAAGGATTACTATAAGGGGTATTATGGGGGTTTAGTATAGGGAGCGACCCGCTTTGGCAGTAATGCATTGGTCCCGCTACTAGCGATCACTTTAAGCACCCTAATTCTTGACCCGAGACTCCAATATCCTTCAGTTAGGGAAGAAAGCTTAAAATTAAGATGCCGCTACTCTTTCATAAAGGAAATATACCTGAAACTATGAGGGCTCCGTATCATGATTTAAAACTAAGGGGTATTGGGCTCTCTGGATACTACGGTTGATGATATAAATCCTGCACTACCTTAATGACCCTAAACTATGAGAGTTATGGTATATTCCTGATTATGGGTAATGCAGGGTTCATATCATCAACAGTAGCATGTAAGGTTTCGAGTTTAGAGCGTAAGGTCCAGGAGTCGCCGTTGGGTTTAGGGCAGCGTTTAGGGTTTGAGCAATTTTGGTTTAAGGTTTGAGGGTTTGGGGTTTAGGGTTTAGGGTTTGAGCAATTTTGGTTTAGGGTTTGAGACTTTGGGGTTTAGGGTTTAGGATTGAGAGCAGGGCCCTAGAGACAAATGGCAGTTGGCAATAGCTCGCAAGCTAGTTGCCTCTCAACAACTTCTGCTATGGATGGCTCCATCGGAGACCCTACTTAGAGGATCATGGGACTCAGTAAGTAGGTTATAATTGGGGTTATAAGTCCCCTAAGTGGGGTTATCCTAATTATAACCTACTTATAACCTTACTTACTAAGTCCCATGTGCCTTCAAGTAGGGCGTTCTCCGCCCTAGGCTAGCCAGGTAAGTTCATGCGGGGTTTTGGAGTTCAGTGTAAGGGTCTGAAGGCAGGCTTTTATTGTTTCTTACTTATTTTTCCTTTCTTTCGTGGCTTTTAACTATATATTGAAATTTTGAAACGTTGTAGCCGGTTCTGTCTGGTTTTGTACAGGTTTACAGACCAGGCGGGTGGGGCTCGCGCTTACACTGCTGGGAAACCTGAAACCTCAAATAGTACTCTGTTATGATGCTACACAAGCCGGAAACTGTGAACCGATACCATCAACTGCTGAAGGCCACTACTGTACAAGGTCTAAATCCTAAGGTCCTAAACCCCAAATACAAGACTCTAAGCCCTTCCAAGTAAACTCTTACCAACGCCAGGCCCGACACCCTGAATAGACCACCTCTGGAAAGGAGAGCAATCAGCAACCTTCAGTTGGGGTCCTTGCTATGGAGCGAAAGGATTGCGAATTTGTAGAACGGCTTCTAGGTGCCATGATGCAGCCTAGAGCCAGACTGTCAGAATCCACCAAATCCTGGCAGGCCCATGAAAGCCTTGTTGGTCGCTGTGACGGACCCCCTAAACTCCCGACAGTAATCATACACCCACGCCTTGGAATCTAAACTTCCAACCCTGGAGCCAAGACCCTTAGCTCTGAAATGCCAAACCCCATAGCCTCAAATGCTGAACCCCTAATCCTAACTTACCCTAAACCCTAAACCCTAAACCCTAAACCCTAAACCCTAAACCCTAAACCTTAACTTGATGAAACCTGGAGAAGGACCGTTTGAAGAATCCTGAAGTCCTAAACTCTAGACCCTCCAGCCCAAAGCCCTCAAACGCCTTAGAATTGGTAGTGCTGTTCCCTCGGCTTCCCAAAACTGAGAGGTAGTCGAAACGCGTTTACAACCCTGGTCTACTTATTCAGGCGCCGTTTACACATATGTGTGTGTATATATATACATACAAATATGAGGCGGTAAAGCTGGATAGAAACCCAGCAAGCCTTAAAGAGCTATAAAACTAAAGCCCAAAGTTCAACGCCACTCCATTTAGGCCCTTATTTTTCATTTTTGAACAGACTCAGAACCCCAAACCCGAAACCCTAAACCCTAAACCCTAAAGATACAACGACGTTCTGCAGGACGAGCCTTGGAGAAGAACGCCTGACATTCTCGTGAGCGAGGCGCCGGCGCGATGATCCAAACCCCTTTGGGATTTAAGGTTTAGGGTTTAGAGTATTAGGATTTTTCGAAGAGTTTAAAGTTTAGGGAATACAGGCTTAAAGGACTTAGTTTTAGAGTAGGGTTTAGGATTTAGGTGTTTTTTTTGACGATTTAAGGCTTGGCCTTCAATCAAAGGGCTCCAGAAGTTGGATGAGGGTGGCTTGGGGAAGCCGGAATAGGAGGCAGTGCGCACAGTGTAAAAGCCAAAGCCCTAACTAAAATCTTAAATAGAAACCCTTCAAGGCACCTTAAACCCTTAAACCTTTGAAACATCCTTGGAGGTGCCTTCAACCCTAAACCCCAAAATGGATTCCCATGCAATCCGATCCCATGTTTTTGCGTCCCTCTGAACCCGGAGCGTTGAGTTGAGCGACTGTGAGGATGTGCCACCCATCTTCCTACAGATGCGCCTGGCGACTGCGGACGATGCCACACGGCCGAAGGGCACAAGGAGGGCTCAGGGTTTCCAGTTCGAGACCTTAGGGGCTTTTTGAGTTAAACCCTTAACGCGCAACCTTAAACCCCTTAGGGGCTTTTTAGGGCTAAAGATTTAGGGTGGTTTTACGGTCTACAGGGAACTCCAGAAAGTTGGAATATGGTTTCAGGGTAGGATACCTTATAATTTACCATAAAGGGTTTAGGATAATGATATTCCAACTTTCTGGCTTCTGCTTTAGTGCTTTTGGGTTCCTAGGACGGCATTGGAGGCGTAGGGTGGGTTACGGAAGCCCTGGAAGGTAACGTAAGAGCTGCTGCCACCCTTTGCAACATCATGCAAGTCTCTACTCTTCTCCCAGAGACTCCAATATCCCTTAATTAAGGAATATTCCTTAAATCATATTAGGGCTCCTACTCTAATTTAAGGTATATTCCCTAATTCAGGGATATTGGAGTCTCTGGGATTGCCGAGGTGAAGAAGGCCAAGCGATCGGTGCCCAAGGCAGGCGAGTGCTGCAGAAGTGCTGGTGGCGCCGGTTCCCACACGGGAGTTTCCGAAAACAAGGGGTACCTTAATTTTGGGGTCCTTATTATAAGGATCCTACTATTTAGGATACTATATTATGGTCCCCTATTTTTGGAAACTCTCACACTGCCCGAAATCTAAAGCCTCCCAGAACTTGCTGGCATGCGGAAGTCGTTTTGTAGGCAAGCAAGTCCTTGCGAACCTGCCCGAACTTCAGAAGACAGGTCCGTGAGCACAGGATGCGTAGATTCGGCAGAAGCTGGTGCCCTGCACCATTCCAAGCCGGATAATCCAATGAACAGCTTTTCTCGTCGTCGACGAACCCCAACCCCAAATCCAAACATCCAAAAGCCTAAACCCTAAGCTCTATGCCCTACACCCTAAAGCCCGAAACCCTACAACCCTAAACCCTGAACCCCATAAACCCTGAACCCCAAAGCCCGAAACCCCAAACTCTAAAACCCCAAACAGAGTAAGATACCCAGCTCTGCCTTGCAGGCGATGACGCCCATGCACTACGCGGAGGCGGGCTTGGGGGTTCCGTTCACAGGGATCCCTTAAGGGTTCGTTTGAGCGGTCCTTTTCGTAGGGTGTAGGGTTTATATACGGGTTCCTGTTTGGGTTCCTTTTCGGGGTTTCAGGTTTAGGGTTCAGGGCATTGAGGGTAACCTACAAGCTCCAAGAGCATGATGACCTGGACGGGAGATCATCCCTAAACCTTAAACCCCTACATAAACCCGTATAGACCCCAGCCCCGAACCCCCAAACCGTAAACCCCTAACACCTATAACCTCGGCCCTAAACCTTCACCTTTCTTCACGATTCACTACAATGAGGACCGTTACCATCCGCAGAGCTCTGGCACCGACGGTGAGCATCAGGTGATGGTTTACGGTTTAGAGTTGGGGGTTTAGGGTTTAGGGTTTGGGTTTGGGGTTGATGTTGAAGGTGAAATGATGACGATGATGATGATGGTTCTGCTGCTCCTGTTGAATGAGCACGGGGCTTTAAAGGTATCGATGGTCAGAGTGAGGCGTCTTCTGCTTACCATGATCGACATCATCATTGTGGCTCTTGCAAAAGCCTGAACGGGCCGGTAAATACTGTTTTCGGGGTGCTGCGGCCGGGCATATGGGGAGGGTAGGTGTTAAGCCTTCCCCTGAATCTCATCCCTAAACCCCCCCACAAACCCTAAACCGAAGCCCTACACACAAAGCGATCTGTGAGGTCTTTCATCGCAACCAGGCGATGGCCATGCGCCAAGGCTTGCGAACGTCCAAAGTCCCAGTACTTGCACAGGTCATGACAATCAAACAACCGTCAAGCATCATCACCATCATCGTCATCACCATGCCATCGTCATCGTCGTTGTATCATCTTCATCATCGACATCGTCATGGTTGGCGTCACAGTTGTCGTCATCGTCTCCATCACCATCTTCGATGCAGACATGTTCTACATTATCATCATGGACATTACAGCATATCCATCAGCATCAGCCACCACCGGCCCAGCACCACCAACACCATTGCCCTGTGTTGGTTACCACAGTCTTCATCTACACGTCGTCTTGGTCATCAGCATCATCATGCACCTCGCCATCGTCATCGTCATCATCGTCATCCTACTCCTCCTCATGATGATGATGATCATCATCATCCTCTTCGTCGTCGCTATGATGGTGATGATGATCATCATCGTCACCCTCATTTTCATCGTCGTCGTCGTCGTCGTCATCGTCGTCGTCGTCGTCATCATAAACATCTTCGCCTGTAGCACCGCCGACAGGGTCTTTTGGAGAGGGCGTAGCCATGTCGGTGTCGCAGCAGACCTAGTTCCTCTAGGAGTACTTTAAAGGTACCATAGGGTTTAGGGTTTGGGGTTTAGGGTTTAGGGTTTAGGGTGTGTGTCAGTGCCGCGTCCCGACCCGCGCCAGTCGGGCCGCTCCAGTGCAGCGGATCCCACCCCAGCCACCCGAAGTAATTTTTCTCGCGGGTTTAGAGCATTTTCAGTTTACGGGAAGGGCCAGTCCTTACGGAGAGGGTCCCGGAGCCCCTTACGGGGAGGGGTCCTTACGGGAAGGGCCAGTCCTTACAGGGAGGGTCCTGTAAGAGCCCCTTACGGGGAGGGTCCTTACGGGAAGGGCCAGTCCTTACGGGGAGGGTCCCGAAAGCCCCTTACGGGGAGGGACGGTCCTTACGGGGTCCCGAAGCCCCTTACGGAAAAGGGACGGTCCTTACGGGAAGGGCCAGTCCTTACGGGGAGGGTCCTTTTACGGGAAGGGCCACTTACAGAAAGGATTTCTTACGGGGAGGGTCCCGGAGCCCCTTACGGGGAGGGGTCCTTACGGGAAGGGCCAGTCCTTACGGGGAAGCCCCTTACGGGGAGGGGTTCTTACGGGAAGGGCCAGTGCTTACGGGAGGGTTTCGAAACTTACGGATTACGGGGCCCGGAGCCCCTTACGGGGAGGGACAGTCTTTACGGGAAGGGTCAGTCCTTACGCGGAGCCTTACGGGGACGGGTCCTTTATGGGGTCAGTCCTTACGGGGAGCTTACGCGAAGGGAGGGTTCCGGAGCCCCTTACGGGGAGGGACCGGGAAGGGCCAGTCCTTACGGGGAGGGTCCCGGAGACCCTTACGGGGAGGGACGGTCCTTCCGGGAAGGGCCAGCTTACCGGGAGGGTCCCGGAGCCCCTTACGGGGAGGGGTCCTTACGGGAAGGGCCAGTCCTTACGGGAGGGTCTGGGTCCCTTCACAGAGAAGGACCTTTACGGAGCCCCTTACGGGGAGGGAGGGTCCTTACGGGAAGGGCCAGTCCAAACGGGGAGGGTTCCTTACGGGGCTGGGTCCTTCACAGAGAAGGACGACGAAGACGAAGAGGCTTACGGAAGAGTGTGCCTTTACGGAGCCCTTTACGGGGAGGGAGGGTCCTTACGGGAAGGGCCAGTCCTTACGGGAGGGTCCTTTACGGGGCTGGGTCCCTTCACAGAGAAGGACGACGAAGAGGCTTACGGGAAGACTGTGCCTTTACGGAGCCCCTTACGGGGAGGGAGGGTCCTTACGGGAAGGGCCAGTCCTTACGAGAAGGGCCAGTCCTTACAGGAGAGTCCCTTACGGGGCTGGGTCCCTTCACGCCAGTCCAGACTGTGCCCTTACGGAGCCCCTTACGGGGAGGGAGGGTCCTTACGGGAAGCTGGGTCCCTTCACAGAGAAGGACGACGAAGAGGTGCCTTTACGGAGCCCCTTACGGGCCAGTCCTTACGGGGAGGGTCCCGGAGCCTCTTACGGTCCCGCAGCCTCTTACGGGGAGGGACGGTCTTTACGGGAAGGGCCAGTCCTTTCGGGCGCCCCTTACATGGTGGGGTCCTTACGGGAAGGGCCAGTCCTTACGGGGAGGGTCCCAAAAAGGGACGGTCCTTACGGAAAGGGCTAGTGCTTACGGGGAGGGTCCCGGAGCCCCTTACGGGGAGGGACCGTCCTTACGGGAAGGGCCAGTCCTTACGGGGAGGGTCCCAGAGCTCTTTACGGGAGGGACAGTCTTTACGGGTCCTTACGGGGAGGGTCCCTTACGGGGCTGGGTCCTTTCACAGACAAGGACGACGAAGCGGCTTACGGGAAGACTGTGCCTTTACGGAGCCTCTTACAAGGAGGGAGGGTCCTTACGGGAAAGGCCAGTCTTTCGGGGAGGGTTTTTTTTTGGGGGCTGGGTCCCTTCACAGAGAAGGACGACGCTTACGGGGAGGGACGGTCCTTACGGGAAGGAGGGTCCCGGAGCCCCTTAGAAGGACGGTCCTTACGGGAAGGGCCAGTCCTTACGGGGAGGGTCCCTTACGAGCTGGGTCCCTTCACAGAGAAGGACGACGAAGCGGCTTACGGGAAGACTGTGCCTTTACGGAGCCTCTTACGGGGAGGGAGGCTCCTTACGGGAAAGGCCAGTCTTACGGGGAGGGTCCCTTACGGGGCTGGGTTTCTTTACAGACAAGGACGACGAAGAGGCTTACGGGAAGACTGTGCCTTTACGGAGCCCCTTACGGGGAAGGAGGGTCCTTACAGGAAGGGCCAGTCCAGACTGTGCCCTTACGGAGCCCCTTACGGGGAGGGAGGGTCCTTACGGGAAGGGCCAGTCCTTACGGGGAGGGTCCCTTACGGGGAGGCTTACGGGAAGGTGCCTTTACGGAGCCTCTTACGGGGACGGGGAGGGGTCCTTACGGGAAGGGCCAGTCCTTACAGGGAGGGTCCCGTAAGAGCCCCTTACGGGGAGGTGTCCTTACGGGAAGGGCCAGTCCTTACGGGGAGGGTCCTGAAAGCCCTTCGGGGAGGGACGGTCCTTACGGGAAGGGCCAGTCCTTACGGGTCCCGGAGCCCCTTACGGGGACGGGTCCTTTACGGGAAGGCAGTCCTTACGGGGAGGGTCCCGGAGCCCCTTACAGGGACGGTCTTTACGGGAAGGGCAGGTGCTTACGGGGAGCGTCCCAGAACGAGGGTCCTTACCAAAAGGCCAGTCCTTACGGGTCCACAAGGAGGGATCCTTACGGGAAGGGGCAGTCCTTACGGGGAGGGTCCCGGAGCCCCTTACGGGGAGGGACGATCCTTACAGGAAGGGCCAGTCCTTACGGGGAGGGTCCCGTCCTTACGGGAAGGGTCAGTCCTTACGGGGAGGGTCCCGGAGCCCCTTACTTGGAGGGACGGTCCTTACGGGAAGGGCCAGTGCTTACGGGAAGACTGTGCCTTTACGGAGCCCCTTACAGGAGGGTCGTTACGGGAAGGGCCAGTCCTTACCTGGAGGGTCCCTTACGGGGCTGGGTCCCTTCACAGGAGGCCCGCCGGGGTCGCGCGCTAGGGGTTAAGGGTAACTCCATTATATACGGTGCCCCATGGCTAGCATTGCCAAATCAGGTATGGGAGACTCGATCTGCTTGGCAAAGCAAGCAGATCTCGAAGCGGTAGCGTTCAGTGGTACCGGCCGCCGCCTGGCGCGGGCGGCCCATGGTTTAGGGTCTAGGGTTCCTTTGAGGGTTCCTTCAAGGGAGGGTTCCTTTCAGGGTTCCTTTTACTAGTATACGATCGGCTTCTGGTTCTGGATTGCAGCGGAACCAGGCTCACGTGACTCCCTGGTGCTTAGTAGGGAATGGGGGAATGGATATTGTTATTGGGGATTTTCTAGGGGCTACTTTAGGGATCCATTCCCCAATTCCGCACCAGACAGATGCCAAGGAGCCTGAAATCCCAAACTCTTCACCTCATTCCATTGAAGTGCCAAGCGCCCGCGCAAAGATCCAACGGTTCTGTCCATTGTCCTGACCTTTCCTGACACCAAAGCAACCCGAAAACCTGTAGAATCCTCGTGCACAAGAAGCAACAAAAGCAACATATATGAACAACGTCCAACAAGCACCGTCAGAAGCAGTCTGAAGCCGTAAGCCCTCAACCCTAAACCCCAGTATCCTGAACCCTAAACCCTACTCCCTGACCCCAACCCCCAAAACCGGAAACCCTAAACCCGTAAACCCGAAAGCCTCAACGAACCTCAAACCCTCATCACCCCAAACCCTGAACTCGCAGCCCTGAAGTCCCAAACACTCCGCAACCCTAAACACCTATACTTTAGAAGCTGCCCCCACCCTGTAATAGTGACTACAAGGATTATATTAGGGCCCTATTATATTCCTATTTTACCACTATTACAGTTTGGCGGCAGCTTCTAACCTATACTACCCTTAGAGTGCCCCCCTGAAACGAGACCGTTTCAAGGACCCTTAAACCCCAAACCCGAAACCCTAAACCCCAAAGACGGGCCCTTTTAAGGAAGCCCCCAAAAAATGTACCCAAGCCGTATCCCTCTGGCAGTACAGGGGGCCGGCCACGGCAGCAGCTCGACGAAATCTGAGGGTTTAGGGGTTTAGGGTTTTAGGGGTTAGGGTTTGGGGTTTAGGGGTTTAGGTTTCGGGGTTTAGGGTTTAGGGTGCTTTTGCAGGGAGGTTGTATGTTTTTGTTTTCGTTGAAATGCTTAGGACTGAGTTTTATTTTGGCTTAGAGCGGGGTTTAATGGGGCCGTCGTTTTGTAGGGATTTTGTTGGGTTCTTATTTATCTTGGTTACCTAGTGGTGTCCCTTCAGCCTTTTTTGTATTTGCGGCCCGCTTGCAATGAATAATCTGAGCAAGCTGCAAAAACGGCACCCTTATCAGTGCGGTGAGTCTGGCACAGCTACCTTGTCTCGTCTTCGCCTTGTCCTTTATATCTCCTTCTTCGTTAATGAAATCAGAATGTTAGGAAAAAAGGGGCGCCTTTGTGATCAAAGGGATGCTTGGCAACAGAGTGGATACACATATGTATATATATATATATATATATGTGTGTATGTGTATACATATATATATATACACACAGACATGGACATAACATAAATGCCCGTTTTAGGCGCTTTACAGTCAAAACCCAGAGAGTCCCCGAACATCTCTTAATTCAGTGTTTAGGGTTTAGCATATAGGGTTTGGATTTGCAGTTTGGGGTTTAGGGAGTTTGGGTTGGCACTTTTGGAAATCTTTCGTACAAGAGGTCTAGCCCTACACAGCGCTAAAGCCGCTGTTTAGCAGGGTTGTTCCCTTGAAAGGAGCCCTGAAAGGACACCTTGAAGGAGCCCTTAGATGTCCACCAACGAAGAAGACATCCTAAACCTCAACACCCGATACCCTAAAGCCCAAAACCTTAAACCATGAACCGTGAACCCTCTACGCCGTTAAATGCTGGCTCCCAGACACCCAGAGATTCCCAAGACCCTATAGGTCAAAGAAACCCCAAACCCTAAATCCTGAACCCTCTCCTTAAACCTTCAACCCTAAACCCTTAACCCTAGACTTTAAACCTGAAACCCTAAGCTGAAAGCCTCAACCCTAAACCCTAAAGCCCAGACTTTAAACCTGAAACCCTAAGCTTAAAGCTTCAAACCTAAACCCTAAACCCTAGACTTTACACCTGAAACCCTAAGCTTAAAGCTTGAAACCTAAATCCTAAGCCCTAAACCCTAGACTTTAAACCTGAAACCCAAAGCTTAAAGCTTCAAACCTAAATCCTAAGCCCTAAACCCTAGACTTTAAACCTGAAGCCCTAAGCTTAAAGCCTCCAGCCCGTGGCGGCCTAGGGGCGGCAAGGGGAAGGGGAAGTCGGGGAAGCCGAAGGCGCGGAGTTGGGTTCCGCGCCGCTCGAGAGCTAACGACATGATCGGTTTCGGGGTCTAGGGGTTTAGGAGTTTGTGGCTTAGGGGTACGGATTTAAGGTTTAGGGGTTTAGGGTTTGGGGTTTAGGGTTTAGGGGTTTGGGGGTTTAGGTGTTTAGGGGGGTCCACTGTTTTTTTTTTTTCCTAGGTCTGGCCTGGTCTGGGGGGCCTTGCTAGGTCTGGTCCCATGGTCCCTGGTCCCCTGGTCCTTTGGTCGTCCCCTGGTCCCTGGTTCCCTGGTCCCCTGGTCTCTCCTGGTCCTGTACCCCTGAACCCTCAAACCTGCAAACAACTATTAACAAACAATTAAATAAGTAACACAACTAACAACAAACAACTAACAACTAACAAGAAACAAGAAAGAACAAACAACAAATCAAGAAAGGGATAGGGGTTAAAAAAGTAAATAAGGATCAAAAAAATTAAATAAGGATCAAAAAAATTGAATAAGGATCAGAAAAATTAAACGGGTATCCGCGAAAGGAAGGGGAAAAGGGAAGGAAATAAAGACAGAGAGAGAGAGAGAAGGAAAGAAATAAGGAAAGAAAGAACGAAAGAAAGAAAGAACGGAAGGAAGAAAGAAAGCAAGGAAGAAAGAAAGAAAGAACGAAAGAAAGAACGAAATAACAAAACAAAAAACAACGAAAGAAAGAAAGAAATAAATAACAAAAGAAAGAAAGAAATAAACAAATAAAGAAAGAAAGCCATGCAAGAAATAGAGAAATAAGTAAATAAAGAAAGCTACAAGTAAAGAAATAAAACAAAAATAGAGAACTAAGTAAATAAAGCAAGCTATAAGGAAAGAAAAAAGAAAACACAAGGAAAGAACCAAAGAGAGTTAGAAACAAAAACAAAACAAACAATGAAGAAATAACCAAAGAACAAAAACAGAGAAATAAAGAAAGACGGAAGGCCATAAATTAAGAAAGAAAAACAGAAATAGTTAAAGGAACAAGAAAGACGCGGAAAATAAAGAAGAACGATACGTAAGACTATCGCTTCATTGTGCTTTAAAAATTCAAGAATTGCTGTATCTAAAAATGCAAGAAAGAAAGACAGAAATAAAGAAAGAACGAGAGAGAGAACGAAAGAACGAAAGCAAAAACAAGAGGAAGAACGAAAGCAAGAACTAAAGAAATAAACTTAAGGAAATACCAGGAAAATCGTGTTTTCCCGAGCAAAAACCAAGCAAATCCTCAGGAAATGAAAACGAATCCGTATGAAAACAGTGTTTCCCCTGGGAAAAATTCAAAAATTGCTGTATCTAAAGAGGACGAAAGAAAGGAAAACAGAAAGAAAGAAAGATAGAACGAGAGAGCGAACGAAAGAACGAAAGCAAAAACGAAAAAACGAACGAAAGCAAGAACTAAAGAAATAAACTTAAGGAAATACCACGGAATCCGTAGGAAAATCGTGTTTTCCCGAGCAAAAACCAAGCAAATCCTCAGGAAATGAAAACGAATCCGTATGAAAACAGTGTTTCCCCTGGGAAAAATTCAAAAATTGCTGTATCTAAAGAGGACGAAAGAAAGGAAAACAGAAAGAAAGAAAGATAGAACGAGAGAGCGAACGAAAGAACGAAAGCACAAACGAAAGAAAGAACGAAAGCAAGAACGAAAGAAATAACGAGCCGAAGGAAAACACAGAAACAAAGATACAAGCAACAGGATACTACATAGTCCAATCGAATTTACCATAATATCGTAATGTACCGTAACATAATATAACATAATGTAACCTAATGTTATAAAATATACTACATATTATGTTGTAAATATACACACTGTATTGTACTATGTTACAATGTACTACACTATAAACTAAGATGTTGTTTTGTTCTATGTCATCTTCTGTTATATTGTATTGTTGTATTTTTAGTATGCTATTATATGCTATAAGAAGCAAGGTTCTGTTATGTCAGAAAATGTCACACCATTTTTGTGTTGTCGAACCATCTTATGTCGTTCTTCTCGTTTACTATGTTATATATATATATATAAATAAATAAATATATATATATATATATATATATATATGGTTAGAATGCTAACGGAAGAAGAGACACGAACAGGCACGGAAGAACAAAACACCCGCCGCCGCGCTTTTCGAGACGTGCAAGCTTGATTCAAAGAGTGTTTTCGAAGCCCATCATGTGAACGTTGTCTCTGCAAATGGGGGGGGCTGCGCCCCCCCCAACCCCCCCGCTGTTTTAAGCCGTGCAGGGTTGCTTTGAAGCATATGCCTTTTGTTGAAACCCAGCAAATGAGGGCGTCTCCGCCCTTGTAGATACATGCTGAACCAGAATTGCCAAATGAGGGGCGTGTTTAAGATAGATGATGAAGCGGAATACCAGCAACAGCTACAACAGGAAATCCGCCCTAAATGTGAAATTGTAAGGAAAATTTGATTTTCCCGAGGAACAACCATATGTTGTCCTTCTGAAAACCTGAAGAAATGACACGAACGCCATAGGTAAGAGGAAAATAGGCTTTTTCCTACGAAAAATCAAGGAAAACTTGGAATCCGCAGGAATATCGTGTTTTCCAGAGGAAAAACCAAACAGATCCTAAGGAAACAAAAGAAAATCCCTAGGAAAACAGTGTTTTCCCTGGGAAAAATTCAGGAATTGCTGTATTTTAAGTGATTTAACTTTTTTTGATCCTTATTTTACTTTTTTTTTGATGCCTGTGCCCCAGGAATTGCTGTATTTTGAGCGATTTAATTTTTTTTGATCCCACCCCTTTCAAGAAACAACAAACAAGAAACAAGGAACAATAAGCAGGAAACAACTAACAAATAACAAGAAACAACTAACAACTCACAACTCACAAATAACAACCAACGACTGACAACTAACAGCTAACACCAACAACTATCAACTAGCAACGAACAACTAACACCTAACAACTAGCAACTAGCAACTAGCAACTAGCAACTAACTACTAACAACTAAACAACTAACACAACTAGCAACTAACACAACTAGCAACAAGCAACAAGCAACACACAACAAACAACAACAACACCACCACCACCAACAACAACAGCAACAACAACAACAACAACAACAACAACAACAGCAACAGCCACAGCCACAACCACCACGACAACCACAACAACAACAACAACAACAACAGTAACAACAACAAGAACACCAGCAACAGCAACAACAACAACAAGAACAACTACCACGACGGCAACGACGAGGACGATGACGACGACGATGACGAGGATGTCGACAACGACACCAAAAAACAACGACACAAGACAGAAGATTTGAAATTGTAATCCCGCAATATTCACACGCGAAACACGACCCTGCAAATTGTAGTGCTCCAATAGCTTCATGCAAGACACAAGCAAAACCAGACCCTGCGAATGCTAGTTCCCCATTAGCTTGATGGAAAACACAAACAATAAAAGACTCTGCAAATTGTAGTTCCCCAATAGCTTGATGCAAAACACAAACCAAGCCGACCCCGCAAATTGTAGTTCCCCCATTAGCTTGATGCAAAACACAAGCACAAGAACACACCGCAAATTGTAGTTCCCTAATAGCTTCATGCAAAACACAAGCAGAAGAACACACCGCAAATTCTAGTTCCCTAATAGCTTGAAGCACAACACAAGCAGAAGAAGACCCTGCAAATTGTAGTTCCCCAATAGCTTGATGCAAAACACAAGCAACACCGATCCCTGCAAATGCGAACTCCCCAATAGCTTCATGCAAAACACAAAGAAAACCGAACCCTGCAACTTGTGGTTCCCCAACAGCTTCATGCCAAACACAAGCAAAATCAGACTCCGCAAGTTGTAGTTCCCCAATAGCTTCATGCAAAACAGAAGCAAAACCAGAGCCGTCAAATTCTAGTTCCCCAATAGCTTGATGCAGCAAAGACCGCAGTTGCCGCTGTTGGCAACCACAACCAGTGGGCCAGACTTAGGAAAGCAAGCCGGGGAGGGCCAGACCTAGGAAAAAAAAAACCGCTCCGCCGTGTTTAGGGATCAGGGTTCAGGGGTTCAGGTAGGCTTCGGCTGCAGAGTTTAAGGTTGAAGGTTTAGGTTGTAGGGCTTTGCAGGAGACTGGAACTTGCGCGTAGATGTGAGGGTTCTGTAGCACTTCGGGCTTGAGGGTTCAGAGTGCTCAGTAGCTCGCTTAATGCTGTACTTTTCACTCAGAGCATAGGCCAGGTAACCGTGCTCCGGGGATTTGTCAGTACTTAGGGGAACTTAAAAGCCAAGGGACTTAGTGAGTAAGGTTAGAGGTAAGGTTATATACTTCGGATAACCCTACTTGGGGCACTTGTGACCCCAATTAAAGCTCTATCTACTAGGCCCTTGAGTCCTTCAGTAGGATTCAGCTACGCTACAGAAACACCCAGCGGCTCCGCAGACCCAAAACCCAAAACCCTATAGATCCCTCTAAGGAACCCTATAGATCCCTTTAAGGAACCCTATACATCCCTTTGAGGAACCCCTATAGGTCCCCTAAAGCCGCAGCCTGAAGCCAGCATCCCAGCGGACATCTCTGAACGCAGCCCAGCAAGCCGGTTTAGGGTCTAGGGTGTAGGGTTTAGGGTGTAGGGTTTAGGGTTTAGGGTCTAGGGTTTAGGGTTGAGGGTTTAGTATTTAGGGTCTAGGGTGTAGGGTTTAGGGTTTTAGAGGAATGTTCCTCCTTGCGCGGGTCCTGGAAAACCTTGAATAGAGCCCTGATAAGCCGGCCCACGATAGTTTGTTGGAGTCTGCGACCCCAAAGTACATCAAGCACCTGCATAAGAAAGGGGCCTGGGTATAATTAGGGTTCAGGGAACCACCCCTGCGAGAGCTAGCTTTCTCAGCCCTAAACTACTTAGAGGATCATGGGACTTAGTAAGTAGGTTATAATTGGGGTTATAAGTCCCCTAAGTGGGGTTATCCTAATTATAACCTACTTATAACCTTACTTACTAAGTCCCATGAGCCTTTAAGTATAAACCCTAACAGGGACTCTGTGAGCACTTAGACTTCAGTCAATGCCAGGCGGGCACAAAGCGGCTGCAGGCCTTCCAGGGACTTAGGGGTTCCGGGTTCACAATGGTCTTAAAGTCCTGTATATATATATATATATATATTTATATTTATATTTTTTGGTCACGATTTATGTATGTATGTATGTATGTTTGTATTCATAGGGTCCTAAAGACCTAAAGCTAGAAATATTTGCATGTAAACAGCTAAATAGATAAGTAAAAGATGTATATACATGCTCACGGTCTAGACCTAGGTCTAAAGCCCAAATACTAAAACCTTAAAGGCTTACACCTCTAGACCCTAACCCCCCTCCATACCCTTTATGGCAGCCCGTAAGGCACCTTTGAAAGGAAATCTTAACGGCACTGCCAATTCCTGTCCTCAGGGTTCGGGATTTCGGACATGGGGCTTGGGTTTAGGGTATGTGGTTAAGGGTTTAAGGTTTTGGGTTTAGGGTGTATGGCTTAGGGTTTACTTGCAGGACAACGGGACCTAGAAAGTAGGCTCTATTTTGGGGTTATAGTGCCCTAAGTGGGGTTATCCTAATTATAACTTGTAACCTTATTTACTAAGTCCCATGGGCCTTCAAGTAGGGTTTAGGGCTTAGGGTGTGGTGTTCAGGGGTGTAGGGGTTGTGGGGTTGTGGGTTCGGAGTCGAAAGAACCTCCCTGAAGAAAAGTTCCTGTAAGTCTGCTATAGAGGTTTAGGACGTCGGTGTCTACAAACCCTAAACCCTAAACCCTAAACCCTAAACCCTAAACCCTAAACCCTAAACCGTTCCTTTAAGACTTCCTGTTCGCGTTCCTCCTAAACCCTAAACCCCTACAAGGGTGCTGCAGAAGTTTAGGGTAAGCCATCAGCCCAGAAATCCCAATATCCCTTAATTAAGGAACATATCTTAAGCCATAATATGAAGGCCCCTCTAATGTAAGGTATACTCCCTTAATTAAGGAACATATCTTAAACCATAATATTAAGGCCCCTATAATGTAAGGTATATTCCTTAATTAAGATCTCTGAGAGTTCCAGAGGTCTGAGAGCCGTGAAGGTTCTCGATTCTCAAAAACTCCGACCGCATGAGGATCTCAAATAACAGAACTCCTAAACACATGCGTTTCTTAACCCATAGAATTGTAGGATATCTTTTCTGGTTCAATTTTCTAGATCCTTGAAGGGGTCCGGGAAAGGGACATCTGGAAAAATGGAGCTTGAGCAACTACCAAGTTGTTCCTGAGGGCTCCTTACTTATATCATGATACTACCATGTATCTGCAAAGCACCGTTCTATTGACCCTAGACCTTAAACCCTAAGCCTTAAACCCTAACAACCCTAATCCCTAAACCCTAAAACCGTGGCCCCTGGTATTGTGGTTGTAACCTTCCAGCTCCGAGTATCGTAATATACTCCCAAAGCCTATTCTAACCTTCAAGGCCCCTGTACTATAGATTTTTTGACTTCTGGAGGAACCCTTACCCTACCAGGTGAGCGAGGAGGAGGTGCAGAAGCGTCAGAAGTGCCATGCTCGGCTCACGAAGCCGTGACGGGGGGCTGGGTTCAGGGTTCAGGGCATAGGCCCCGGTTCAGGGTTTAGGGTTTAGGGTTCAGGTCTTAGGCTCAGGGGTTTAACCTGGAGGGATTCTTGGAACATACCATAAATTGACATGGACTCCATATTATGATGTCAGGTAATTATACTCCTTACTTATGGTACCGGCATACGATCAAAGCAGAATGCGAAAGCCGCCTTAAAAGCGTAAACCTGAGGCCCTAAAGCCCTAAACCTTTAGAGTTTAGGCCCTGGACCCTTCAGTTTTGGCTTTTTCGTGGTGCCCCCAAAAGAAACCCTTCTCAAATCCGTGCAGAAGTCTTCTGGAATTCGGGGTAGCGTAGGAACTTAAATGATGAGTAATCTAATTCCATAGAGCTCCTAAACTCATAGGGATCCTTAGGGGTGTAGGGGGGAGGGGTGTAGGGGACTATATTTCCTTAAATAGGCCTTATTAGTCCTTATTATGGGCCTTAAGGCCCCCTACCCCCCCTCCCCCTACACCCCTAAGGATCCCTATGATAAACCCTATAAACCCCACATCTGAATCCATAAACCCTAAAGCCTAAACCAAATTAAAAACCCGAGCCCTAATCTAGATGCAGTAGAATTTGCCCCCCAAACTAGTTAAGGCTCCTGTATTGCTCCCCCAAGGCGCACGGAGCGCTTCGGCGATGATGAGGCCCGGTAGCGGTTCTGTCTCTATCACAGCCTGAGGGGGTATGGGGGAGGGGGTAGGGGACTATCCTTCCTTAAATAGGCCTTATTAGGTCCTTTTCTGGCATGAAAGCCCCCCACCCCCCTAAAAGTCCTTATGACTCTTAGGTCGGGGTCTTGGGGCTTCTGGAGTCTTCTTTTCGAGGGGAGGTGCCTTCTTGTCTCTGCTTTGTGGCTTTCGGGTGCGTTTAGTGGCCTTACACCCCTAAACCCCAAGCCCTAAACCATAAACCCCTAAACCCTAAACCCTAAACCCCTAAACCCTAAAACCTAAAACCTAAAGCCCTAAACCCTAAACCCTTAAACCCCTATACCCTAAGCGCTAAACCCTCCTGTATTTCAGGGTTTGGAACCGGAAAGCACCTCCTCCGATGGACTCTGCCTCGAGAGGTGTCCGTCGTCCAGCCAGGCCAGGTCGGCAGGGACTTAGTAAGTAGGTTATAAGTAGGGTTACCATTGGGGTAACTCCATTTAGGGTACTTATAACTCTACTTCTACCCTACTTACCAAGTCCCCTGCCCCTCCAAGTAGGGTTTAGGGTTGAGGGGTTTGGGGCTTGGGCTGTTTTAGGGCTTTTCATTAGGGGTCTATGTAAGAATTTTGGTGTATCCAGGTTTGGGAATGCAGATGATTTTTGGACCTCATCTTGGGGATACTCGTCATACAAAACTTTCTTCGTATGGTTCAGAGTTCAATTTCTACCTTAAACTAGCGGTACCTAAATTCTGGTAGGGTCTTTGAAACCTAATATAGAACTTGTAGGGGCCTTAAAAGAAGCAGGCTTTGGTAGGTTAAGGTAGAGGTATTGGAAAGGTTTAAGTTTAAGATCAAAGGCTTGCAGGGCTGAGGGTTTACAGGTCCACAGGCTTGCGGCTTCTGACCTCAGGGAGCTCGCGTGCACTGGGCCCTGCCGTTTAGGCTTCAGGTAAGCGCTTCACCCATGGAGCCTCTTAATCCTAAGCCCTAAACTCGAAATCCTGAATCCTCAACCCTAAGGCCTTCACCCCCTAGGTCCTTAAGCCCTTAGACACCAAAGCTTAAAACCAACCACAAGCCTCATCCTGCCCTTCAAGCTGCAAGCTCGCATCCTGCATCCTGAAAGCCCTAACACCCCCGCCCCTCTCCGGCTTGCACAACTGCTGCCCGAGAGCCCAATACTCCTTAATCAAGGAATATATGAGCATGCCTTAAATCATAAGGGGCTTTACATCATGATTAAGTTTGACATAAAAGGCACTAAGCCCTCAAATTTGAACCGTCAAAGACCTTGTAAAACTCTTAGAGGGGCCCTTCGAGGATTCCTGAATTAAGGGCTATTGGGCTCTCTGGAGTGGGCCGGGCGGCCCTGGCTGAGCATTTCCAAGTGCGCCAAAGTCCCAAACCCCAAAACTCCAAACTTCAACCATACACTGCTAGCCCAGAGCCTGAATCCCTGGAACATTAACTCCAAGACCTGAAACCCAGAGACTCCAATATCCCTAAATTAATTAAGGAAGATGCCTCAAATCATATTAGGGATCCTGCTATAACCTACGGTATATTCCTTAATTAAGGGATATTGGAGTCCCCTAAACCCTACACCCATAGATCCCTTAAACGATCCGAAAGCCCCCCCAATCTGCAGGGGATGCGGTAGAGGAGGCCGCGCCGAGTCCACCCCTCAACATTCGGGGCAGGGGCAGGGCCTACAAGTGTAATTACTTAGGTGTATGTGCATGGGTATAGGGTTTAGGGTTTAGGGTTTAGGGTTTAGGGTTTAGGGTTTAGGGGAGATAATTAGTCTTATGAGGATTACTATTGTCGTCCATGCCCTTTCTGTGGTTTTGATTTTGTTGGCGTGGTTCGGCATTTGCTATTGTCGTTGTTTTTTTCATAGGAGGCCAAAAGGGGTTTTAGCCTATGGAGGTTTAGTAGGGATTAGGGTTCCCATAATAGGGTTCATATCAAGGAATCCCTCCCCCAAGAATCTTAAACCCCCCTTTCGGCCTCCCATCATTTTTTGCTTGGGAGCTTTTGGGTTTCAGGGTTTGTGCTCGCTGTGGGAGGTTTCGTCTCTGCTGCCGACCTGTGGCAGAGACCATCCTTCGGTGTATGGCTCGGGGTTGAGGCTTTAAGGGGAGCAAAAGTGAGAACCTGCGGGCAAGACTGTCAAGCTTACAAGTGTCTAGGTTCGAAGTTGCTCGTAATTGTATTGCTATCGGTGTTTAGATTTTTGTAGTGCTGGTAGTTGTCACGATATGTGTGACCGTGGCACGTGGAGTACCCAAAACAGAACTAGTTGACATCTCGAACAGTAGGATGACTGCCGTTGCTTTTGTTTGTTGTACTCTGTATAGCTGTATAGCTGCTGCAGCGATTATCCTTTAATATCATGGTTATCAGTTATCATTATCATTGCCTACTTGTACCAGTTTCTTCTGTCGGTAGCAGCACTGTAGTTCTCGTTGTTGTGTTGGCGAGTCCTTGCAGTGTACTGATGTTATCCCAGAAAACCTTAAATCCCAAACCAAGATGCACGACAAGCATCGCCGAGATACTTGAGCCGTAAACAGTAACTCCAACCGCTCGCCTCTGATTCGTAATCCAAGGCCCTAAACCTTCGGAAAGCAACCAGTGAAACCTTAAGCCGTTATGATGATGGGACATTCTGAAACCCATGTAACTTCTGCTGGTAAAGATTTAGCAACCTCTCAAACTTTCATACGGCATGGGCTTATAAAGCACCGTCATCAAGGCCCGCAACATCACGAATTTTAACAAGAAGACCCTAAGCTCTGAACCCGAACCTCTAAACCCCAAGCCTTGAACCCTAGACCCTAAACCGAAAATCCTGTAGCACCCGCAGAATCGCGGCAACAGTAAGGACCTACAAAGAAGGTTAGGCTTAGTAGGTTAAGGTAAGCCCTAAAGACCCTAAACCTTAAACCCCTGAACCGTAAGCCCGTCTGTAAAATAATTACTTACTACGTCACCCGACCCTCCGAGCCCTAAACCCTGAAATATGAACCCTTATGAAACCTGAAACCCCAAAACCAAGACTAAAATATGAACCTTATGAAACCTGAAACCCTAAACCAAGACTATAATATGAACCTTACGAAACCTGAAACCCCAAAACCAAGACTAAAATATGAACCTTATGAAACCTGAAACCCTAAACCAAGACTAAAATATGAACCTTGTGAAACCTGAAACCCTAAACCAAGACTAAGATATGAGCCTTATGAAACCTGAAACCCTAAACCAAGACTATAATATCAACCTTATGAAACCTGAAACCCCAAAACCAAGACTAAAATATGAACCTTATGAAACCTGAAACCCTAAACCAAAACTAAATATGAACCTTATGAAACCTGAAACCCTAAACCAAGACTAAAATATGAACCTTATGAAACCCTAGAACCTTTAGGGAACCCTTATGACGACCTAGATCAAGACGAGGCCCTAGACCACAAACCCTTAAATTTTTAGGGAATCCTTATGAAACCCTAAACCAAGACGAGGCCTAAACCCCAAACCCTAAACCCTATACCCTTATAGAACCCCTATAGATCCTTTTAAAGGGTCCCTCCTTGTCCCCTTTGAAAGACGAGCCCCAGGTCCGCCGGCCGCCGACGCTGCCAAGGCGCCCTCCGCGGGGCCCAAGCGGGTCGTGGGCGTCCCGGCGCCGAAGAAGGAGGCCCTGACCCCGACACTTCCCTGTATCTATATGGGTGGTTGTCAATATTAGGGTCCCTTTTTGGGTCCTTATTATAATACGGCACCTTATATTCAGGGTACACAAAAAGGGACCCCGACACTTCTTAGACTTCCTTAAAGGGCTCCTTAAAGGCTTTGGGGTTTGGGGATCTATACGGGTTCTATAAGGGGGAGTTTAGGTTACTTAAAGTACTAATATCTATATCTATGTTTATCTATCTGTATGTGTGTTTACATTACATGTTTTTTCGAGGTTTACTTTGATGTTTTGGGAACATAGTTCGTTCCGGATGATTTTCGTGAAATAACTTCTACTGTCTGGTTCTTAGTAGGGCATGAAGAAATGGATCCTACAGTAGCCCCATAGTAGTCCCCAATATCCATTCTCCCATTCCCTGCTAAGCACCAGGGAGTCTAGTCTTAGATGGGATTTGTTTTTTGGGTGTAGGGGTTGGCAGATCAAGGGACACTGTGCTTGGGTTATAGGGGTAGGGTTTAGGGTTTAGGGTTTGGGGTTTAGGGCTTAGGGTTGGGTTTTTGGTTTAGGGTTTAGGGTTAGCGGTTATAACTGGGCTTAGAGGTGCCCTATGAGTAATTAGAAACATAAACATACGAGAAATACCAGAACTATTATAGACATTTTAACTATGTGTAAAAGTAAAATAGTCTTAGGTGTTTATGATTTGGGGCTTATCCTTAACTAAACCGTAAACCCCTAAGTCCTATGCAATGAACACCGAGTTTTTCACCCACTTGGATACCTGAGCTTTGACCTCTACCTGAAACCCTAAACCCCTAAAAGAAAGGCACACCCCAACCTTGAAACAAGCTCCCTAAACCTCGAAGCCAAAAGCTCCTTGGCCCCAAAACCCCCTATAGCACCCTTATAGAAGCCCTCATAGCAACCCTTGAGGGAACTCTGAAAGAAACGCTTAAGCATTGATGGCCGTAGCTGCGCGTAAATTTTCGGGGCTGCGCTTAAAGGGGAACCTTATGGGTTGTTGGGGTTCCTTTAAACTTTGTCACATTCGGGTAAGATTTCACATGTTTATGGGTACTTAAACCCAATAAGGAATAAAGATTTACATTTTTATGGGTACTTAAACCCCAAAAGGAATAATTAACAAATTACATTGTTAATCCTGTCCCAACCATGAACTAGTAAAGGAACCTGAGCCCAAACCGTTCAAGCAGGGACCGGGGCTTTGGAACTGCGGCTTTCAGAGAACAATACTCCCTTATTTGAGGAATGTAGCCTTAAGTTAGGGTTCCTGTAAGGGTTGCTTTAAAAGTTTATTTATATGGTTTACTACACCTTAATGCAATGAACAGGGCTCAAACGATAATATTAAGCCCCTTACATTTTGAGGTATGCTCCTGAATTAAGGGGTATTGGGCTCTTTGGGACCCCAAAATGTTCTGGCAGTGGAGGCCGCGCCCTCCGCCACTCCGACGACAGCGCCGACACCAGCACCGAAACTGGCCTCGGCACCTCCCAAGGTCCGCAAAAGCTTTTGTTTCAGAGTGTGGGGTTGAAGGGGTCTTGGTTGAGGGCTTTAGGCCCTCAGGCTTTTGGTTTGTGGGTTCGGGGTTTAGGTTTGGGGCCCAGTTGACGGGGCTGAGGATTCATGAGGGTTTCATAGAGGTCTTGCAACAAGGTGTCGCATGGGTTTTGCTATGGGTGTGTGTGTGTGTGTGTGTGTGTGTGTTGAAATCAGAGGAACATAGCATAATTCAGAAGGAAACGGTGTTTTAGCGTGGAAGCTAGAATCCCCCATTTTCTGGAATTCTTACCTGCTTCTGCTGAGTACTGCTGCCTGCAAATGCTATCCGCTCCCTAGACCCTGAACCCCTAAACCCCTAAACCCTAAACCCTAAATACTATAGACCTTGAACCCTAAATACTAAACCTTAAACCCTAAATACTATAGACCCTAAACCCTAAATACTAAACCCCTAACCCCTAAACCCTAAGCCCTCTCGACCCTAAACCCAGGGTTTAGGCCTCAGGGTTGAGCGGAAGGCCCGTCTGGGGCTTTAGGTTTATAGGCTTTAGTTGGGTTTTGATTTTCTTCTTGGTTTTAGGTTTAGGGTTTAGGGTTTAGGATTTCGGGTTTATAAGGTTTAGGCGCTGTATTTGTTCATATAAGGGCCTTCATACTTACCCATACTATTTTGAGGGTTCCTTATTATAATTGTAGTATCATGGTCCCCTATATTAGAGCCTTTACAGTGCAGGTTGTGGGCGTGCCAGCCCCAAAGATTGCCAGCAAGCCCGTGGAGGACCAGGTCTGGCGCGCTCGGTTGCGGGTTCCCGGACTACTTAAAGGATCATGGCACTTAGTATCTAGGGTTCCTTAAAGGGTTCCTTTAGGGTTTAGGGTTTAGGGATCTTAAAGGGGGAGTTTAAGTTACTTAAAGGATCATGGCACTTAGTAAGCAGATTATAAATGGGGTTGCAAGGAAGAAGAAGCTGAGGTTCTCGTCTCCTTGTTCCTAGTGGGGCTATCCTAATTATACCCTTCCTGTAACCTTATAGTCCCATGAGCTTGTAAGTAGGGTTTGGGGTTCAGGTTCAGGGTTCCGGGTGGGTCGTTGGGATTGATGGGTTTTGGGCTTTGAGGTTTTGGTGCTACGGGGGTTTTGAAGGTGTTGGGGTTCTGGCGTTAGGCTCACGATCGGTGTGGGGCTACTAGTCAAGCTCTGCTCTCGCAAAGCAGGAGTACTTTATTATGGAAGCTTCGTGTCCTAGAGGATCAAGTACATGGTTACTTTATCACATTTTCGTTCCCACCTCGTAGAATCCTTCTAAAACCTCTGTAAAAGCCGTACTGAACTGGTATAGAATCTTGCTACCCTAAACTCTAAAAGCTAGACCCCAAACCGTAAACCGTAAACCCTAAACCAAACTTCCTTAAACTCGCAACGAGCCTCAGCTCGCGGAGAGCTCCTCCACGCTGGAGGCGGCGGCGGCGGCGTCGACAGAGCCGCCAACAGCAACGGAAGGAACGGAAGGCGGCAAGGTGCGAGGGTTCGGCTTTTCGGGTTTCGGGTGCCCCCCAGCTTAGTACCAGTGTGAGGGATCACATGGGGAAGAGCTTTTGTTCCTTGCCAAGTGCCCAAATCCAACCCAAGCCGTGCAGCTTGGGGGGGTGGGCCATGAAGGTTCGGGTGGCACTTTCCCCTTCTTGGATTGAGCGTCGAACTCTTGCCGGATCTCCCCGATGACGAAAACGGAGGGGGGAAGAGATGGCGGGAGGCAACGTTTCCGTTCGGCCAAAGTGCACCCCAGGCCATCCACTGTTATAGTAATCATGGGCCCCCAAACCCTATTCTAATTATTAAGGCCCCTATATTTGTGCTTTGAAAGCTCGTACTGCTACCAGTCACATTGATAACCACGGTCTGGCAGTGTCACTGGGCACAGTAAAAAAAACAGCACCGTAGATGCGGACAATGCGCACGTTGACTATAACCGGCTTTGTAGACACGACAGAACATCGTTTTGAAGCGGCAACATCAACTGTAAGGGTGCTGTAATTGCTAACAGGAAGAACCATGGTCCATAAGTGTGATGTTGTTAAGTGATTTGCTAAATCAGCGTCCGAACTAAACTCTGAATCGTTGTATGCTTGATGCTCCTGCTGCGCTCCTCCTGCTCTTCCTCATCTCTCCTCCTCATACTCCCTCCTTCTTCTCCTTCTCTTCCCTGGCTCCTTGTCCTCCTGCCTCTCCTTCGCAACCTCCTCATCTTCGCCGTCATCATCATCGTTATAACTACCAAGGTCATCATGTTCCTCTTCCACCTGCTCATCACCCCAGCATCACCACCCCCCTTACCATTAGTCCTCCTCACCCTCCATATCTTCCTTCTCCTCAAAATTCTCTTCGTCATCATCGGCATCATCGTCGTCCTCCTCCCTCCTCCTCCCCTCCCCCTCATCATCACGACCATCATGGTCATCATGATCACCAGGATCACCTTGATCACTTGATCATGATGACCGTCATGATCATCATGGGCATCTTGATCATTATGATCATACTGAGCATCATGATCATCGTGAGAATCATGGCCGTCGCGATCATCAACTTCATCATCTTCATCTATATCTTCATCGTCATAATCATAATCTTTTGTTCATCATCATAATCACCATCACCATCATCATCATCATCTTCATCATCATCATCATCAGTATCACCAACATCATGATCATCTGATGCAGCTTCCTTCCTGCTTATGGAGGGCACGATGCAGCTTTACAGCGTGTTGCAAGGAGACCTCATCAGAAGCGCCGCCTGCAGATGCGGCCGTCGCAAAGCAGCCAGCCGATGGCGAGTCGAAGTGAGGCAAAAGCTGGAGGTCCAGGGGCTCCGTGGCCATGCCAAGTCTTTTTTGTGCATCTTTTTCTCGTGTTGATCGCTACGTGGCTGTTATGAGGAAGATGATGACGACGACGAGAAGTGACGATGATGATGGCGATGACGACTTGGATGGTGATGTTGTTGATGATGACTGGCATGACGATAATGATGATGGTGGTGGTAATGATGATGATGCCGCTGCTCCGGACAATAACGATGATGATTCTTTCTATAGGAATTCTTTATTTCTGCTTCTTGTCGTCACGGGGGCGCTCGCACAAACAGAAATAAAGTGATTCTCGAATGCACGCCTGACCGGATGACTGGCTCCAGCTTTTTTCCAGCACCAACATGCTGGTATGAGGAGTGACGCAGTGTGGCGCATTGTTGAGGTTTGAAGGATGCGGCGGGCCAACCAGCAGCGAACAACTGCAAATGCAGGTTGTGCCGTTTCAGTATTTTCACTCTGTCACAACTTCTCGCGGCCTCTCGTCCATTGCCGTGTCGTGCGATGATTTCGCGACGTAGTACGACAATCCGCTTGCTCGCCGTATCAGACATCCCATACCGACAGCAGCTCTGATGCTCCTGCTCTCTCTTCGAGCAAGGGTGCCCGGCCGGTCGTCTCAAGCCCTTCTGTATGAGCATCTCCGAACAGATCCCTTTTTTGGTTATGGCTGCTGCTTGCTTTTGCTGCTGCTGCTGCTGCTTTAGATGTTTTCATTGTTGCTTTCGGCACCATAATTTGCCATCGCCCTTTTCGCGGAAACCCATGCGCGACAACTTCAGCCCTAAACCCTATGCTGCTTTTTCAAGACCGAAGGTTCAACTGCGTGAGCAATGGAAGCATGAACATTTGGGAGTTTCCGAAAATAGGGGACCATAATATAGTACCCTAAAAAGTGGGATCTTTATTATAAGGGCCCCAAAATAAGGTGCCCTAATTTTTTCTTTTGGTTTTATCCACAACCCTGACACCAAAAATCCATGCTTCATGCGAGTGTTTTGGATTTGGGATTCTTCTGGCCATTCATAATTGTTTGCTCAAGTTTTGTTTGCAAGTCGAAAATCTAGAACCTTTTCATCTTCAGGCTCGCAGCCAAGGTCTTGGACGCACAAGATATCCCCTAAACCCCTAAACCCCTAAACCCCTAAACCCCTAAACCCTAAACCCTAAACCCCTAAACCCTAAACCCCTAAAGCCTAAATCCTCAAGCTCTAAAGCCTAAACCTTAAACCCCAAGCCCCTAAACCCCTAAACCAAACACCCCTAAACCAAATCCTAAATCCTGAACCCTACATGCCCTCGCTTTTGGCTCACGGCGTAGAAGGGGTGTGGTCCTTCGCATTCCTTAACGTCGGCGCCCCGGCCTTCTTCCCAGGCTTTTCAGAGTTTCTTCAACCCTCAACCTCTGAACCCTAAACCTACTTAGAGGATCATGGGACTTAGTAACTAGGGTTATAAGTAGGTTATAATTAGGATAACCCCACTTAGGGGACTTATAACCCCACTTATAACCTACTTACTAAGTCCCATGATCCTCTAAGTAGACTCCTCATCCCCAAGCCTTAAACCATAAGTAGTTTTATAAACTGCGAAACCAAGACTGGGGCACAGGCTTGGGCCTCAGGTTCACGTTTGTTGGTTCGAGTCGTAGGACTGAAGCAGCTAAGCAGACAATATTGAAATGCTCCTCTCTGTAAGCCTGATACTCTGAATGTTTCGGCTTTTCCTGGCTCCCGATACGCTCTCTGCAACTCGACAGAGGGTCCTCGAATCGGTATGTTCTTGTCTCATTCAGCGCCGCCTTGTTCCTTCACACTCTGGAGCCCCTCGACCCTCAACCCTAAACCCTGATCCCTGAACCCTAAAGCCTGATCCCTGAACCCTAAACCCTAATCCCTGAGCCCTAAACCCTGATCCCTGATCCTGGAACCCGAATCCCTAAAACCTAGACCCGAATTCCTGAAGCCGTACTCCCTAAACCCTGAACCTTCAAGCCTTGAAGCCCTCCACCACACCTTTTCCGCCATTGAAAGAAGCCCCCAGCACCCCAAACCCTGAACGCATGAACACGCAAAACCCCAACCTTCTAAGGGTTTAGGGTTTTAGGGTTTAGGGTTTAGGGTTTCAGGGTTTAGGGTTAATCGCAAAACCCTCCCAGAGCCCAACAGCCCAAGCCTTAATCTCTGCCGTTGCGCACCTATATAGGGTTTAGGGTTTAGGGTATAAACTCTAAACCCGAAAACATCAAGCACCCTAAGCCGCAGCTGTGCAGCGACTTAGGCGGTGAATGTAGCTTCGCGCCGCGGCCAGAGACCGGCGGCGATGAGATGGCCAGGCACCGGCTTAACAACAGGATTTGGGGCTTAGGGTTTGGGGTTTGGGTTTATGGTTTGAGTATCAGGGTTTGGGGGTTTATGGTTTGGGATTGCGAGTTTGGGATTTAGCGCTTGGGACTTCGGATTAAGGGTTCAAGGTTCAGGGTTTGGGGTTTTAGGAGCCGAGCTTCGTCGCTGCCTTCACCCCGCAGGCTGAGGCAGTCTGCCATGTAAGGCCTTAGTGCTTAGACTTCTCTGATGCCCTAAGGGTTTAGGGGTTTTAGGGGTTTTAGGGGTTTTGGGGTTTTGGGCTATAGGGTTTAGGGTCTAAAGTAGGAACCTGATTGAGAAACCCTGGCCCTATAGCCCCAAGATATTGGGTTCATATAAGGAACCCTAGTAAAGACCCAAGGTTTCTTAATCAGGTTCCTACATTATTATAGTACCCTGATAGATCCCTTATAGTAGCCCTTATAGTTCCTTTAGGGTTCCTTTAAAGGGGACCTCTTAGGGTTCCTACATTATTCGGAGTTTGACGAAGATGTTCCCTTGCGCCGCTCAGAGGTCGGGTTTCAGCGAAGCGCCTTCGCAAACTGAAGATCCAAGGGTGAAAGGAGGGACCCTTAAAACGGACCCCTAGGTATACACCCTTAATATAGCTATTATGTACCCATCATATAGCCCATTATGGGGCAGGGGTCCCCATTAAGGGTCCCTTCTCTTCCCCTTTGAGAAGATATAAAACTATGCCTCCACCGCCCGCGGGGCTAGGCCTTTGATTGTTCCGGGTGTGTACACCCTATACTCTCATCTGTTCTCGTTTTTTTGAGCTGGGGTTGCTGGTAAGCCTTCCTATGACTTGCAACTTCTGCATGGTGTGCAAAGGTGCGGAAAAGGGCTTGTCCAGGTTCGGGTTTTCGGTTGTTGTTTTGGAGTTTGAAGTCTAGGAGTCTAAGAGTCTGGGATACTAAAGTCTTACAAGGGTCAATGCTAGCAAGCATGTGATCGATGAGTAGCCAAGGTGGGATTGTCCTGATTGCTATGAACCTAGTCATTACCTGCTTCCATCTGCAACCTTGGACCCTGTACCCTGAGCCCGAAATTATGATGTGAGTGCGCTGAATCTAAACTCTGGTCGATTTTTTTTGGAGGGAGGGGGGGTGGTCTTGCAATATGCAACCTGAAGCCCCGCTGGAACCCTCAGCGCGCCGAGTGACGGCGCACGCTTCTAGAACCCTACACCGTGAACTCTAAGCTTCAACCCCAAGAGACTAGCCCAGCACTAAACCCTAAACCTTACTTGGAGAGGCAGGGGACTTTACAAGTAGGTTATAAGGAGAGTTATAAGTACCCAAATGGAGTCACCCCAATTATAACCTTACTTATAGCCTACTTACTAAGTCCCCTGCCCCTCTAAGTAGCCAAGCACTAAACCCTAAACCTTAAGCCAGAAGCCCTAACTCCTTAAATTTTGAACCCTAAGCCGTGCCTCAATTCGTTTTTTTCCTAGGGTTCTTATAGCTTTGGGGTTTAGGGTTTAGGGCTTAAAATCCAACTTGTACAAGAGGGTCTAACTGTTTAGGTGGTTCTTATGATAGCGTTAGGATGTAGGGTTTAAAGGGTTGAGTTGTAGAAGGGGTTCTACCTAAAGGCTCATGAGACTTCGTAAGTAAGGTTACAAGTAAGTAAGGTTACTATTAGGACGACCACACGAAGGGTATTGATAACCCCCAATTGTACCCCTTTTTACTAAGTCCCCTGAGCCTTGAAGGAACTGCCATGATGCGTGTCCTAGACCTTAACTTAAACCCCAAACCCCTAAACCCTTGCAGAAGGGGTTCTAGCTGCCGTGATATGTGGAGAGGTTGCCTCCTGGGCCTCTCCCTCAGCTGGCACGGTGCCCCAGACCTCTGTCAACACCTGGTTGGGTTCGGGGTTTAGGGTTTCGGGTTTAGGATTTAGGGCTTTGTGGACATATTCTCCAGACCATGGTTTTTTGAGTTTTATTTGATCCTTGTGGGGTCTGGGCGAGGTTTGTGCCGGGTTTCATGAAGGTCGTCTTGTTGACCTATAAGGGCTTCTTCAAGGGTCTTCTCAGGTCTAGAAGTGATTTTCAAGTACAGGTTGAGTCTTGCTGATGGACAGCACCCGGCATTCTCCGTACGGTTGATGATATAAATCCTGCACTACCCATAATAAGGAATATACCATAATTCCCATAGTTTAGGGTCCTTAGGGTAATGCAGGATTTATATCATCAACAGTAGTACGAAACCTACCTTGATTGCCATAGTGTAAGGTTCTTCAGGATTCTGTCCATGCACAGTGGGCTGGTAAGTGCGCAGGGTTGGGTTTTGAGCTCCAAGGCTCACCAAAATCGACCTTGAAGTATTTGGAGGATCATGGGGCCTAGTAAGTAGGTCATAATTTGGGTATAAGTTCCCGAAGTGGGGTTATCCTACTTGTAACCTACTTCTAAGCCTACTTACCAAGTCCCATGAGCCTTTAAGTAGACCCTAAACCCTTAAAGGGAACCCTATTATAGAAACCTTATAGTACCCTTTAAAAGGAACCCTATTATAGAAACCCTCTAGTACCCTTTAAAGGGAACCTTTAAGTAGTGTTTGAAGCCTTCGGGCTCTGTGAGGCTGAGCGTTGTGTA